CCAGGGGGGATGGCCACACCGCAGTTCCTTCTCCTCCATTCTCCTCTCAAGATCTTGGGCACGCACGCACATGTGCCCGGTGTGAGTTTAAGCCACCGGGTCCGGGACTTGAACAGCAGTAGACTACATGGGAGTTCAACGACATAGCCGTTATGCTAACTGGTGGTCCCTCATGGGTTGTTTTAAGGATGACATGAGTTACCATATGTAAAGTCTTTAGTACAACATCCAACACGTAAAGCATTATATCTGTGCTAACTGTTGTTACTATTATTAGTTCAAAGAATTATTTTATTTAACTTTATTTATTTATTAATTTTTAATTTGACCAGAGAGACATGGGCGGGAGGGGGGGGGGAATGAGAAAGCAAGCTGCCAGGTCCAGGACTCGAATCATGGTCAGCCATGTGGGAGTCCAGCGCCCCAATCGCCATGCCACCTGCTGGCCCCAGCAGTCACTACTCCTCTTTAAGAAACAACTTTCTCTCGGACCAGCAGTTAACGTAATGGCTATGTCGCTGAACTCCCACGTAGTCGACCGCAGTTCGTGTCCCGAACTCGGTGACTTAAAACTCACGCTGGGCGTGTGTGCGTGCGTGTCCAAGATCTCGAGAGGAGAATGGAAGAGAAGGGATTGCGGCGTGGCCATCCCCGGGTGGGGTGATTTCTCGCTTTCTGTCTCTCGGTCTCTGTCTGTCTGGCGAGTGCACACGCCCTATAGGGAAAAAACCTCTCCAAAAAAAAAAAAAAAAACCCACAAACTTTCTCTTATGATTGTGTAATGTAATCAATAACTAGAAATTTTTAATTCTCTCAAAGGTCATTATTTCCAGAAATTGGGACGATGTTCTGTGAGAGCTTCTTTAAACACAGCCAATGTGACACTTGGCCCTCAAGTGATGGAAGTGACTGTCTATAGAAGACATGGACGGGCTTATGTTCCCATCGCACAAGTTAAAGACGTGTACGTGGTAACAGGTGAGTGGTGAGAACTCTACATTAGCTGAGGACAAGGCACTTGATCCTGTTCACATTAGTGGATTTGAGAGAGAGAGCCCAGTATTCTGGGTTAGGTTATGATTCATTTAAGCTTCTACCCAAGTTTTTTTATTTAATTAGGCCATATTCCATCTATGTTTTCCAGAATAACTTGGGCCAACTCTAGAAAACTTGCATGTAAAAAAGAAAAAACGATGCTTTATTATCTCTAACTTTATGTATGTTTTAAAGTTACTGTCTTCCTTCCATAAGTGAGAGAGACAGAAAGAGAGATAGGGGCTCCAAACAAGGTCCTCATATCATGACTTGTTCCCCACTTCAGCCAACCTTGCATCATATACCCAGAGTGCACAGGGAGGTATCCAGACTCGAACCTAGACCCTGTCCATGTGGGTCAGCCTCACAGAGCATTGAGTTAATGCTGCACCACTGTTGGGTCCCTATTCTTAATTTTTAAAATTTATTTATTTATTGCCTTAAAAGCACCTCTGGAATCTTCTGCTTAAAATCAAGTAATTGTGCATTCATTCTTTCTTTGTGGAATGTGTCTTTTAGATCAGATTCCTGTATTTGTGACTATGTCCCAGAAGAACAATCGAAATTCATCTGATGAAACCTTTCTCAGAGACCTTCCCATTGTGTTCAATGTCCTGATTCATGACCCCAGCCACTTCCTCAACGAGTCTGCCATTTCCTATAAGTGGAACTTCGGAGATAATACCGGTCTGTTTGTTTCCAAAGATCACACTTTGAATCACACATATGTGCTCAATGGAACCTTCAACTTTAACCTCACTGTGCAAGCTACAGTGCCTGGACCTTGTCCTCCACCATCACCCACACCTCCAAAACCCACCTCTTCTTTAGGTAAGGTGTTCCAGGTGGATTTTAAGGGAAGAGGCTTCTTAACAGCTAAAAGAATATTCACATAAGTTGTAATATTAAAAACTATTGAATCCCTACTTAAATAGATTGTTGTAGAGAGTCTGCAATAATTCTATTTTATACCTATTAATTGTTAAGCTAATTTATCATTTTGAATCTTTAGAACACAGAAGAAAGGTAAATGTGTTTGAAATCACTCTACAGATAGAATTTGGTAACTCATATGAAGCTCTTTAACACTTCTAATTTGCACTGGCTTTTTTTCCCTCAAGTGATGGAAGTGACTGTCTATAGAAGACATGGACGGGCTTATGTTCCCATCGCACAAGTTAAAGACGTGTACGTGGTAACAGGTGAGTGGTGAGAACTCTACATTAGCTGAGGACAAGGCACTTGATCCTGTTCACATTAGTGGATTTGAGAGAGAGAGCCCAGTATTCTGGGTTAGGTTATGATTCATTTAAGCTTCTACCCAAGTTTTTTTATTTAATTAGGCCATATTCCATCTATGTTTTCCAGAATAACTTGGGCCAACTCTAGAAAACTTGCATGTAAAAAAGAAAAAACGATGCTTTATTATCTCTAACTTTATGTATGTTTTAAAGTTACTGTCTTCCTTCCATAAGTGAGAGAGACAGAAAGAGAGATAGGGGCTCCAAACAAGGTCCTCATATCATGACTTGTTCCCCACTTCAGCCAACCTTGCATCATATACCCAGAGTGCACAGGGAGGTATCCAGACTCGAACCTAGACCCTGTCCATGTGGGTCAGCCTCACAGAGCATTGAGTTAATGCTGCACCACTGTTGGGTCCCTATTCTTAATTTTTAAAATTTATTTATTTATTGCCTTAAAAGCACCTCTGGAATCTTCTGCTTAAAATCAAGTAATTGTGCATTCATTCTTTCTTTGTGGAATGTGTCTTTTAGATCAGATTCCTGTATTTGTGACTATGTCCCAGAAGAACAATCGAAATTCATCTGATGAAACCTTTCTCAGAGACCTTCCCATTGTGTTCAATGTCCTGATTCATGACCCCAGCCACTTCCTCAACGAGTCTGCCATTTCCTATAAGTGGAACTTCGGAGATAATACCGGTCTGTTTGTTTCCAAAGATCACACTTTGAATCACACATATGTGCTCAATGGAACCTTCAACTTTAACCTCACTGTGCAAGCTACAGTGCCTGGACCTTGTCCTCCACCATCACCCACACCTCCAAAACCCACCTCTTCTTTAGGTAAGGTGTTCCAGGTGGATTTTAAGGGAAGAGGCTTCTTAACAGCTAAAAGAATATTCACATAAGTTGTAATATTAAAAACTATTGAATCCCTACTTAAATAGATTGTTGTAGAGAGTCTGCAATAATTCTATTTTATACCTATTAATTGTTAAGCTAATTTATCATTTTGAATCTTTAGAACACAGAAGAAAGGTAAATGTGTTTGAAATCACTCTACAGATAGAATTTGGTAACTCATATGAAGCTCTTTAACACTTCTAATTTGCACTGGCTTTTTTTAAAAAAAAGAATTATTTATTTAATTTGTTATCATTTTTAAATTTGACCAGAGAGAAGGGGAAAGTGAGAAAGCAAACTACCAGGTCCTGGACTCGAACCTCAGTAGGCCATGTGGGAGTCCAGAGCCTTAACCATCATGCCACCTGCTGGGCCCTGCACTGGCTTTTACTATTATAATAGATCATTTCTACCTCCTTGCTTGAGAGGTCATGAGAAGATACGTAGAGCTCTTCCTAATAATCATGCCCTTTCCAGTTTTCTTTCCCCCACCCATGGTTCTCCTTACCTCGGTTCTCCTCTACCCTGCCCATACAAACCCAGTGTCCCATGAAAACTCAAATGTACTTGGAAGCAGTTTCCAAATGGCCCAAGAAAGAATAACCCTGCATTTAAATCAACCTAGATATAAGATCTATGTAATTAAACATCCTCTTCTATTGAGAGCCTGTGAGGACTTTCAAGAAGCCGTGAGTCCACCGTGTGAAGCAGTTACTTCCAATTGACCCCCACACTCTATCCCATCTCCTCACGGTTCTCAGCTCCCCAAGGATTCCGGTGATGGCAATCGGCTGACATCCTCTCACTGGTCACCAGAGGGCGCCATAAGCAAGCACAGAGGAAGCACCATCGCCATGTCTGGGATACTTGTTTTTACCAGACATGCTAGCTAAACTGTTATAATAAAGTGTTAGTAATACAATGAGGTACAGTCAAGTTAAGAAATCTAATTCACGGCCAGCTCCATGGTTTGGTAGTTAAGGTAACCATATCCCACACGGCTGACCCCACAGTTGGAGTTTCGGACCTGGCGGCTTGAGAAACACCCAGAAACGGGTATGCATGTGCCTACAATCCAGAAAGGAGGGAGAAGTGCTGGAGAGGGGATTCCGGAGTGACCACTGTCCATGGGGGATGTTTTCTCCTCTTCTCTCTCTCTCTGTCTTTTTCTGGTGAGCATACACATCCTCTAGCAAAACTTAAAAATAATTAATCAAAACTATGTTATTATTACCACTTTTGATTAACTTCTGAAGTGTTTTAAAATTACAAAGTCAATGTTTCTTAGTAAAAATTCAAACAGTATAAAAATCTAGAGTAAAAAGTGAAAGTGCCAGGCCATCCCAGCAGTTAATGGAGGTGGATCCCACATGGCCTACTGGACCTGGTGGCTTGAAAAACACACCAGGTACATGAGCATATGTGCCCCAAATCCCCAAATGAGAGAGAAATGGAGAAGGAATGGCAGTGTGACCACAGCGCAGCAGAGGTGATTTCTCCCTTTCTCTCTCTCTGTTTCGCTGAATACATGCACTGCCTGGCAAATTAAGAAAAAAAAAGTGAAAGTCCTCATTTACACTCTCCCCAAAGAGTTAAACCCTGTTGATAGTTGGAAGTGTCTCTTTCCAGATCTTTTTCTGTGCATTTGCAAATATATTCCATAGAGGTCAGCAATGGCATGGAGGTTAGGGCACTGGACTCCCACATGGTAAACCGCAGTTCAAATCCCAGACCTGGAGACTCTTTCTCTGGTGAACTAAAATAATAATAATAATAAAATTAAAATAAGTAATTCTTAAATATGCATGTTCTACATAAACACATAGGTTTTATCATTTAGTGATGGAGATGGATTAATGCTATATATATTATTCAACAGTCTGGGTTTTTTTTTTTTTTTTCATTAAAAAAAAAGTCATAGACAGGGCCAGCAGGTGGTATGATTAAGGTGCTGAGTTCCCAATGGCCGACCATGGCTCAAGTCCCAGACCCAGTGGCTTGAAAATCAGACTGGGGACATGTGTGTGTGACCCCAAAATCCCGAAAAAATGAAGGAAAAGATATTTCTGCAAGCCATCCCCCCTCCCTGGGGAGTGATTTCTCACTTTCCATCTCTCTGTCTCTCTCCAGGGAGTGTATGCGCCCATGGCAAAAACCTAAAAAAAGACAACTTTTCATTGCTAATACATGTCTCACTTTACTTGATGGCTACATAGTATTCCATAGTGTGTATGTACTATAATTTATTTCACTATTCTCTTTCTCTCTCTCTCTTTTTTTTGCTGGTGGATGCATGTGCTTGCCACAGATAGAGAAAGCATTCCCCAATGGGGTGTGGTCATGTCTCAGTTTTTTTCCTCCATTTCTTCTTCCTGTCAGAATTTGGAGCTCATGACCAGCGTGTTTCTCAAGCCACCAGGTGGGCTCCAACTCCGAATGCACAGTGTTTAACCACTGTGCTACAGGGCCAGCCCTCACCACTCTCTTACTGATGGGTGGTTATGTTAAACCTAGTTCTAATACAGATAAACTTGCACTGAACAACTTTAAACACACAGCTTCATCCTGGTATTTCTGTAGAAGAACCAATTTTATCTACAAGTATTAGTTTTCTTCCTTACAAATAAGGGGACCTGGTGTAAAACTTGAATAAATTACGATGCCTTTAAAGTTTAGGAGTTCTGAATAGTAAAGGACTTAATGTTAGATTACTTCATGTTAGTATATCTTGAATTGCATATTTCCTAAGCTATATTGTTTGTCTTAGAAACTATTCATATTATATCATATGCTAAAAATTTTTAAGTCAATGAAAAGGTATTTTACATTTATGTTATTATTTTTTTCTAGGTCAGACCATAGATACAAATGAGTAACACTGCAAGTTAGTTAAGTTTGATAGAGAACGGAAGCTGTCTGGCTCTATCTGAAAGTGTCAAATTGACCGCACTTAGCCCTAAAATGCCTTAAAGTGGTTGTGGGACCCATGGTGATGACCAGAGTCAGCCCACAACTTCAAAATGGGGTGTCTCCTAGACAGTGTTCTAGCTACGCAGACTATATTAATGGGCTTGGGTTATTGAGCATCAAGTTATTGATTAGCCAAAAATTACATTCTCTCTTTGGTAAGTGGCTTCATAATAAAGCACAATCAAAAAAAAAAAAAAAAACAGAAACCAAAGACAACCACAGAAGCGAGACAGAGGCAAGGTTGAAGCGGTGACTCGGTAAATGATTAAAGCATGGGTAGATAGGTGTGGTCTCCTGTGTAAGTGGTCTCCAAATAAAATACAAAAAAAAAAAAAAAAAAAAACAGAAACCAAAGACAACCACAGAAGCGAGACAGAGGCAAGGTTGAAGCGGTGACTCGGTAAATGATTAAAGCATGGGTAGATAGGTGTGCGCTATCACTAAGCCACGGAACTATCTTTCCTTAGCTAACCCTGCTTCAGTTCATTTTTCAGACTTTGGTCAAGAACCCTGGAAAAAGAAACCTTTGTAAGATCGGTGTTGATTAGTGTAGTACGATGGAAGTGTGTATAGGAACATATTTATACTATACTCTCTCACATCCACACCCACACACACACACACATGCACATGGGCACTTCTAAAGGTTCATGGAAAAGTGGAATCAAGTACGACTTTATTTTAGTGTAAAAAATGTCTGAAATCCATGGATAGTTTTATCATAATTTGCATTTCCTGTGAACTGTTTGAAGGCTGCCCCTTACACAAAATGTCAGGACCTTTCTGGACATTACCAACCAAGCAGCATTTTCCAAGGTGTGCATGGGTTTCTGAAAATGTCCTGAGAACTGCTCTGAGAGTCCTCTGCAGGGAAAGGAGAGTCACGTTCACCACTAAAGGCTTTGAGAGCTCCGGGAAATCTCTGCACTAGCTTCATTCTCACACGTCACTAAGTTAGAGATGCAACCCTTACGAGGCTTTGATGCCCTTCCCAGAGACTGGATCCCTTTCACATGCCTTTTGAACTTAAAGAGAAGACAATGTTGTATGTTCAGTATCATATTTTCTTTTCAGTCTTTCATTTTTTAAAGGAGCACTAATGCTTTATTAGAGCCCTTTAAAGTATCAAAGGGCATTAGATCCTTAGAATTTTAGAATTTAAGCTTTGGAGCAGTGAGACACTTGACTAG